ACAAAAATTAACACAATTACCGCAATCAAATGGAGGCTTGTTTTATTTTTATTTCTGTTTTTTTTTTATCACTAAAAAAAGGCAGTCAATATGCATTAGTGGGCCACTGAACTAATAGACAAGAGCGAGCCAGGGCAATAATAAAAATAATAATAAGGCCCAAACAACTATTTGGATTAGGTAAACTTCAAAAATAGAGACAGAGAGAGAGAGAGAGGGAGTTATGTGGTTGAAAAAAAAAAATTAGCAGCATCATCAGCAAGCGCTTGAGAGACTCGCATATGTTCAAACTTAGGAGCGTATTTACACACACATATATACACATATACATATACAAACACACATATATATATATTGACTGAAGCTTGAATAATATGTTTGGATCGTTGGAGCGTTTCTCGAGTGCGCCATTACAACTTAATTAGTTTAAATTGTTGGAACGTCCAAAGACTCAAAGAGCTTGCGCCGCCATTGCGACTAAGGCAAGAGAGAGATGGACAGAGAGAGAGAGAGGATTGTTGGCTGTGAGGGGGCAGCAAATTGTTTCAGTCAATTTCCGGTGAACGAGACGCTGCACATCAATGCAATGCAATGCACTCGAAATGTAGTCTAAGTGGCTTGGCAACACTGCTCGTTCGTGCTTTTCACATTTCACTTTCGCACACTGAACTTGCGTACATAACCTCAAAGTGTTAGCCAGTGCGCAACAATTATGACAAGACAAATCTGAAAGGCAACGACACCGACCCGACACGGCTAGTGTCAACAATGAAATTGCTGAAAAAAAAACACAACAACAAATAAAGCACATGAGTTGCCACAAAGTGAAGCTGCCACAATCAATGAACTAACAACTAATTAACATATATAAGCCAGATCACATGGGACACTAGCATATTTTGGGTCAATGGGCTAATTGAATTATGCAATTCTCAACTAGTTTTTGGCAATAGCTGCGCAGAGCGCGAGGCTCAGCTTGAAACACTTGAAAGCGATACGATTATGCAGCAAATTATGTTGCGTCTGCCTCTGTTCCATGCCCCTCCGCTCTACTTGACTCTGTCTGCGTCTGTTTGTTGTTGTTGTTGTTGTTTTTGTCAGCATGTAAAATGTTCTGCTTCTTCTTCTTTTTTTGTAAATTTGTAACGTAATGCTGACCAAGTAGAATTTTTTAACAATTTCTATGCTGGCCGAATAAACCAGACAGACAGACGGACGGACGGACAGGCGGACAGCAGGGCGCACAGTTTTGAATGTTGCACTACAACAACAACAACAACAACATGAACAAGAAGTTGAACAGACAGGAAGGGGGCACACACACAGACATAGCCTCAATAGGTGCCGCTCGCAGCAGCAGCTGCTTTTTCTTATAATAATAATTTTCATCATATTCATTTTCATCATATTTTGTGTGCATGTGGGCGAGGTCGTTGCAGTAAGTGGAACTTGTCTGCACTGCCCTTGAGCCTTGTCTAGAACGCTGAAAATACGGGCAATAGAGGTGAACGTGGTCTGGGAAAGCCACTTGGACGTGAACTAATTCGAAATTGGATTTGATTCCGTGCGACTATTGGGAAATATAATCGGGCAAAAGAGTTTTTTAAAGAGAAAATTCTAGAAACTCTGCTGGAGAAGAAGAAGTTAATTATGATAAATAGTGATCGAAATTTGATCTTAAATTATAATTCTTTTAGTTTCTAATACTTTTGCTTACAAACTTCTCTCCTTTTACAACACTGTAAGCAAAATAAACATTAGTGTTGGAAAATGTTTTGGCTTGGTCAATTATAATAGGTCAGTTAAAAAATATTATAACATTAATATTAAATATAGTCTAGAATTTGAGTCTATATCATACGTATTCAGTTGAGTAAGGCAAGAGGTCTTACTCAGTCAGCTCTTTTAGGAAAAATTCCGATCAAAAGTTATCCATAAAACATATTCCTATTTATACTACAATTCCCTTTTACAACACTTTTATATGCATAGCTTTTGTTGCAACTGTACCAGACAAGTATTAACTACAAGGCAAAGGAGAACATATTTTGATTGAGAGCTTCAAACATAGTTCATAGTAGTCTAGAAAGTAGATCCCATATTACATCTCATTATGCAACACTACTGGAAGAATAACCCATATTACACCTTATTTTGCAACACTGTTCTTAATGCATCTTTGTCGCAACTGTACGCAAGTGTTGGAAAATCGTTTAGACTTCACATAGTCAATCGAAATAGAACATTTTCTGCTGCTAGATGCTGGCCGCATGTGAATGGCCGTTAGCTGTAACCAATTTAGAGCCGTGGTCAATAAACTTGCGTAGCTTGGCAGCCAAACTGATTGCATAATGGAATTTAAGCCACCATATTTATAGCTAAAGGCGTGTATGCGAAAGATCTATAACATAATTGAGAATAAGAGCATTTTTTTTCATTCTTTCTTTCAGTTGTTGTCAAGTCATGCGCTCCAAAAGTTGTCAACTGTGCGTAGTTCTATTATTCTAAGAAGCTAAGAGCAAGAAGAAGAAAAAACTGGTTGAATTCCAAGTGAATCAATGTAATCAGATTTATGATTTGTTCAATGGATCGTCGAATCTCTGGGAGCACAACATCAAAATAAATACTAAAAAAACTGTACCAAAAAGAAAAAACTTAAGAAAAACAAACAGCATTGATTACGACAACAGTCAGATACAAAAGAGTAGAGTAGAGTAGAGAGAGAGAGCGAGAGAGATAGACCACGGTACATGGCAACTTAATTATGACAATGGATCTTGAGACATATGCCAATGACATGGCGTTATGTGTCCAGGACAATGGCCAGAAACAGCTTCATTAGCAACAGGATTCTCGCTGGAAGAAGGTGACAAAAGTTGAAATTAATGAAAAGTGGCTGACTTTAAAAACCAAGTCACAATAGGGATACCTGTGCAGCGATCATTCCGAAATTAACTATATAGTACAAGCAAATAGTATCTATCAATTCATGTGGGCATTCAATAGTCTCTTTCTCTTGCGCCGTTGGCTGTAATTGAAGTGAAACAAAATTAAAGATACAAAAATGACTTTCATTTTAGTGCAAGCCAAAGCCAAACGCATGGAACAATAGATAAAGCCGACTGCCAGGCCAGGGCTAAGGGACTGCTGCACAGATACAGCTACAGAGACGTACGGTATTCCATGGCTAACACTCGGGGGAATTTGGATACGCGTACGAACACAAAAGCGTGTGAATGCGTGTCTCGAATCCGATATAAATCTTAGCCATAGACCAATAGCAAACGATATACAGATGGATAGGGCGGGCGGGCATCAATGGATTTTTAATAAATGCTCAGTCGAAATAATAAATAGAAATAGCTGATGACTGAAACGAATGTGAACGACTAGCAGATACCTCTACCCATGCTTCGAAATAATTAAATTTTCATTCTCAGTTACTTAAAAGTCAGGTGAACAGTTCTAAAATGTCATTAAAGCTCCGGTAAGTGAGGATAGATTCAGTAATAATGAAATATTCTGACAACGAAATACTTAATGTTATCGATATTTATCGATTTGAATGAAATCTCGAAACACTTTGAAGTATTTATGCGTAACACGCCTCACTCAATAGATAAACTCGACTTCTGTTGTTCACAATTATATAAATAATACCAACAAGAATTTCTATAATCTACAGATATACCCTATTTATACTACAGGGTATCAACATTAATATTAATAGCTAGAAGCTGAATAAATGCCTATGAATAGCTAACGATATACGAAATACAAATACGAGACACGTTTACTGACTTTCAGCTCATCTAGATGATGTTGGTGGTGCGGCTGCTGCTGCTGGTGGTGCTGTTGGTGGTGGCTTTGACACCCTACAAAATGGCTGCCGGGGTTGATCAGAGCGAAGGAGCGAGGACTGCCATTCAATAAGCCTGCTTCATAGCAAAGCAAACGTTTGTAGTTGGGTGGTTTAAGCCCACGTCCCTGGGCCTTATGTACAGCTTATAGGCCAAAGTTGAAATACAACTTGTACAAACTAACACAGGCATACACAGCTGTATCTATATATATATAAATATATATATATATATATATAATATATGAGTGTAATTTTTGGCGAATCATGTTTCGTTCATTTTTCAAAAGAAAAATGTTGCATGCGACGGCGGTGGCAGCTACTTTTACTGCCACTGGCTGTGCCCCAGCTCCGTGCTTCTGCTGCTGCCGCTTCTGCTTCTGCTTCCAGTTTCAGTTACAATTTCAATCCCAAACCCAATCCGGGCTGTTAATAATAAAAGTTCGTGTGCGTGTCAAAGTTTGTTTGAAAAGCAGCCGCTTGGATATGAAATTGGGCGCGGTTCCAAGCAGATTAGCAGAGAGGCCAGAGTCAGAGATGGAGGTGGAGACGGAGCCGTAGCCAGAGGCCGAGCCCCAACGCCAGCTGCTTTATCGATATCAGACAAATGGAGCACACGAAGGTGGAGAAGAAGAAATGTCGAGCGGACAGGGCTAAAAGCGAATTGCTGAAAAAGAAAAGCTCATTTTTCTTTTAATTTTCGTGCCTGTCAACTCAAAATGCCTACATTCATTTATAAAAACCTTTCGCAAATGGCGTCGCTCAGGAGCAGAGGCCTCGCCATAACAGCAGGATAATCCATTTTCGTTTATATTAGCGAACGGGAGCAGCAGCAGCAGCAGCAGCAGCTGTCACTTAATACATTATGAAATAGAATATATTATATAATGCTGCCCCCTCTGCAGATCCAATAGCATCTATTTGAAGACAGCAACTGCTGCTTATCTAACACGTTTGAAAGGGAAATGTTATGCTAAAAATGATATTGCCTCAATTTATTTTGGTGTATCTCCGATAAGATAGCAGTGTCTATAAATCTTGCACGTTGTTTGCGTGCGCGAAAACTGTAAAAGTGCTAACAACACTCTTGTAATTTAGTGCTCAAACTAACCATGAATTAGATAAGCTCCACTTGACTTACCGGTTTCATTGTCGATTGTAAAGGGTATGCCGCTCCATTCATTCGATAGCTCGTCCAGATCTTGCGGCATTTTCTTCTCATCAAGCGATGCCTGTAAGCAGGATTGGAACAGCTTGACAGAAGATCGTACACAGCAGCTTTAGTTATCGATAAGTTTATCGTTCCAAAAGCATGCATATTAAATGCATGAAATTTAATATGAACTTCATGTTATCGATAAATGTTTCGATGAATATGACAGATAATTATGACAATTTAATGTTTGGCTTTCAAAAAATAGAAGCATCTGTAGTTCACTAACAAGTTATAGTTTCGATAAGTGTATTTAAAATATCATCTACTACACACTTTTTCGTTATCTGTGAAATACTTACCTCATCTTGTTGTAGATCTTCCAAAGCTTTCAACTTCTCGATATCATCATCATTATTATCATTATCATTATCATTATCATTGGCTAGCTTATCATCGTCATCGTTCTCCTTCTTGGCCTCCGCCTGCCTTGCAGCGCTATTGCCGCTGGCATAGGATGCATTGATGATCTTCTCCTGATCAAGACTAAAGCCCAAGTCAACATCCTGCTTGTAGAGCACCTCAGCGATTTCACTTTCCTGCAAGACAAGAAAGTCAATAGATAAGTTAAAACGTAATTAACTATTTGAATGCTATTGTTTTTTATTTACTACATATTTAACTTAAAGTCTTATTTACAAGACGTACTCCGACAAAGATTTTCATTGCGCTCTTTGATTATATCTCAACTGATCAAATCAAGTTAAAAAACCAATTCACTTTAGTTCCGATTTTACAAATTTCAATTTGTTTTTGTATTGCTATATATTTGATATGGATTTGCACTCTTAAACGTCGTCTATGTGGCCTCGTTTCTAAAGAGAGACTGAATATTTATCAGTGACAGCCCACGATTCTTTCTACTCTTTACCTTAGTTTCCTGATATTATTTTATAAGTCGTCTCTTGTTTTTGCTGATAAGACGAATTTTTCTTTAGATAAAAACTGCGTCATTCGCCTTTGAATCGAGTCTTAATGCAAATTAATCAAGCGAACGCAATTGCTCTGAACTTTGTGAATGCTCTTTTAGGTTAGTCATACAGAACACCAGTTAAGAGCGATTCGCTTATCAGCTTTAGATACGCTCTCTCTCTCCCCCACTGTCTCTCTCTCTCTCTTTGACTTGACACGCCTACACTTGCAGAAATCTATATGAATTTGTTAGTTTATGCAGACAAATTCCAAATATTTTTTGCAAATTCATGCCAAAAAGATTTTGTGGCCGCAAATTAAAGCGTTAATGATGCATTATTAACGCTGGCCGTAACCCCAGACGTTTTTGCCAAAAACTGTAATCCTTTTGCCGTAAGTCAAAAGCATATATATATGTGTATATGCATAAACTGGGCGTCTTAAGCCGTCAGCGCAACACGGAAATTTCTACGGACTACAGGTAGAGTGACAGCAGCACAGGTTATGAAGGGATAATCACAGGATAATGGCGCACATTAGCAGAGTCGACAGTCGACAGTCGAGAGCTGAGCACTGCTCCGTGGAATGACACAACACAGCATAAAAAACATTTAACAAATCATGACATAAAATGCCATTGATGGCTTAATTAAAATGTTTTTCCTTTAGCTGCTGCCCTTTATATACATTTCTATATATCTATATCTTTATTGCCTATGTGTTTTTCTTTTAATTTTTTTCCAAGCGACAGTTTTTTCTTCTGTAAGCCCCTGCCCTTTGCAGGGTTCACATTTTCTTTTTAATGAAATTGTTTGGGCGCATTGTGAGGCTTTCTTGAACTTTTCTGCGCTATGTTGCACGTACGTGAAACAAAAAGCAATCAATCATCGGCTCTCTGCATGTGTGTGTGCGTTTATGTGTGTGTGGAACCACGCCTATCTCCTGGATTAGTCAGCAGTATCCGAGCGAGCATGGCGGCGGCATCATTGGTCTCTTCGGGTCCAAAGAAGGGCCGCCGCCGCTGCTTCTGAGCCCAATCAATTGCTGCCGCGCAACGCTGACGCTAGCAGCGACGCAACTGCGCCCCAGGGGAGGATGAGTGTACATACATACACACGCACACACACACATGTGTGTCTGTGTGTGCCGGATTGGTCCCCTTTTGGAAGCAGTGCACATGCTGCGCGTTGCGCATGTTCGTCCAAAATGAGCAATTAAACGAGTGACAGAAAGAGAGAGCGCTAGCAAAGAGAGTGGAGGACGAGAAAAAAACAGAGAGAGAGAGAGAGCGCGTACAAGGGTTGTTCATGTGTGCGCCCGCTGCTACTTATTAGGTAGCTATTGTCGGCCAGCTGTATCGAAAAGTTAGCGTATGCAAGTCAATCTGTATAAGTAGCCTATATGCAGGGTATTGAAATGTCATATTTGAATGTGAACTAAATATAAGAGTTAAGCTAGGCTCACACAAAGCTTACAGAAGCTTTAAGCTGTGCTTAGCTAGCATGTGTGTTTCCCAGAAAGCTCTACCGAAAATGCACTAATACAAGCCCATTTACGAATACATGTGCAAAGATCTAGGCATATAAGTTAAAATTCGAATATTGAAAGGAATATTTGAGCTTAAATAGTAATTAGTAGAATTAGCTTAATACTAGAAGTTTCGACTCTATGTGCTTTTAATGTGAAACACGAAGACTGCCCCTCGCATACACCAAAAGCCATTCAATTGAATGTAACCCAGAGATAAGGTAATCGTACATGGGGCATGCGATTTATAGCCTTATCGTCGAGCAATACTTAAAAAATGTACGTGACGATATGACGGGAATTGAACAAAAACAAAAATTTAATTAATTATAATACATAAGCCAAGGTTTAGATGCATATTTCGTCCACATAATAATATGAACCGATCTTAATGAATTCATTGAAGCCATCCGATCCTTATTTTCGCTAGTGTAAGATCATTATCTCTGGCCTGATCTGTTTCTAAAACTATTTCACAACAGGCAACGTCTGGCTGATAAAGCCAACAACTGATAAAACCGCATTTATCAAGGGAAATGCCAAAAGCCAAAGAAATATCAAAGTGCTGGAAATGTATCCCAATGACCTTGAAGCTTGGTGGCAAATCCAAAATGCATTGAAAACAAACTACAAAAAACACGTGTGAGATGTGTGCTGCAGCTATTTGACTGTCATATATATAGAAATCTACATATATAGACATCTGATAAGCCACACTTGAGGGGCGATAAGGCCAGAGCGATGCGGTTTTATTTTGAGAATGAACAAATTGTTTGGCAGTTGCTTTGGGCTGGACAAGTTTTGTTTTTCGTTTTTAATCAATCAACATTATGCGCATCACAATATATTGACACTTGCCGCATTTTGTTGCAACAATTAGTGCGCCATTAACGGGGAGCTGACCACAAAATCCGATCGGCCATCGGCGACCGCAAGATTTTGGTGGCAAGATAAATGTTTTTTTGATCCTGCAGCGGCAAATTACAAAAGTCTCGGGTGAAAGCAAATGTCGGCTGTGGTAGAAAGTGCAAAGGAAAATCACAAAAAGAAGTTTAAGAAGATGATGAAGAAGAAGAAGCAGCAGAGAGCAACAACAAGGCACGGAAAGGAAAGGAAGGGAAAGGCTCAGTTGCCGACTGAGGCTAAAAGGTTGGCGAACGTCATTAATAAAGCCTCGCAAAGATTTTGATGACACCTGAAATGACAGCCGCACGAACGAGCCCCGACCAGATCACTTCACTGCATTTTGTATCTGTAAGATACACACACAGGCACACACACTTGCAGTCAGTTGAGCGGCAAGTGTGGCGCATATTAATCATGTGCTCGTCAAGCCTTCAGTCAGGCAGTCAGTCAGTCAGTGAGGCCTTCTCAGTCTGTGCCCACCAACAAAGCGAGCTGCTAACTCGAGTGGCCAACTGCAGTTTGTATCTTTGTATCTTATAGATACACATTTATCAAGTATTGCACAAGTATCCTGCTCGTTTCTGCGGTTAGCCGCAGCAACGCCCCGAACTATAATAACGGTTCATTTGTGTCATCTTTTTTCTGTTGCATGCGCATTCGATTGCGCTTTCATTAACTACATTTGCACTCAACACCCACAACTATAGATGGGCGCAATTCGAGAGCAACGCCCAGCTAGAGATGGCCAAATGTTAGTTGATAAATGGCGCGAAACATATTATATATATATATATATATATTATTTGTATTATTTGTTAATATATAAGAATATATTATATTTGTTTTAATTATTTTTAATTTAAATATATACTTTTATATATTTATTATTATTATTATTTATTATTTATAACTTATATTCATATTAGTCATTTTATATTCTCATAAGAATTTTTGTTTGCGAATTAAGTCGTGTCACGATACGCGTAACAATAATTCAGCCGCCCATCTATCGATTTGACATCTGAACTTTGCCAAAAGCGCTCGTTCGTACACTCCCTTACACACACGCACACTGACACATTCTATAGCAGAAGCATTTCCATCTCCTTCTAACACACGGGAGCTGTTTGACTAGTTGGCTGCGCTCGCCGACAGGGGGCGGCACAGCTACTGATGCACATTTGGCAAGCATAAGCCGTAATTAACGGTATTTAATTATGGAAATTAACAATTGAGCACTGTGAGAAATACAGAAAGCGACGCGCACGGCAAAAAACAGAAACACACAAATGGCGCCAAGCAGCAGCAGCAGCTAAAAAAATGTGCTTTTTTACGTGTATTTTGCAGAGGGTAATTAGGTGGAAATGCCGCGTAATTACAGCCAAATGATTTTTCAATTTGCGTTTGTTTTTTCGAATTCAACATTTAGCATTTTGCTATGTGAATATAGAAAGTTGATGAACACGAACCGCTAGATAGGTGTGCATATGCTTGTACTCCTCGTTGAGACACATGGCGAAATTTTAAATGTTTAAGTGTTTCTCTTTCAAAAATAATTTGTTGCTTCTTATTTTCCCGTTTTATAGAGCAGCGGTACGTGTTTAACACTCGAAATGAACATTAAGCAGACTGAACAGTTTGTTTGCCTTATTGTCGAACTGATCGAAAGGCCCTATCGTTGTTGTTTTTTTTTTTCGTCTGGGTTGCGGCTGATTAGCACACGGTGACAGCGGCAGCCCATAAAATATTTGATTACTTTAATTGATAAAGTTTTGTTTTGCGAGCAGTTCTAAAATGAATTATACAAATAGGCACACATATTTGGATGGCTGATAAGCACGCGAGAGGCAAAAAAATAAAACCTTTTGGCAAAACCAAATATGATTTCAATAAATAAGTAACACTTGTACTTAATTACTTGTATAATAATTATCAAATTGCGCAATACGTAGTATCTTTGCGCTGTTACACCTAATTTTACATCGCTAAAAAAGCTCACCAGAAGCTTTTGAATATGGTTTGAAAATGCGCTAAACGACCTGGGTTGTTGTCTTAGCTAGGATACTTTGCTCAGTAACATGTTGCGTACTGTTGTCTATAGCAACAAATGTTGCCAGCATGTTGAGTTCACAGCGGTGTGGTGAAGAGCAGGCGCTTAGTTGAGAGAGCAAGAGAGCGCGCTGAATTAAAGAATAACTCATAAAGTGTGGTGTGTAAAAATGCCGGTAAAACAGCTGTTTGCGTTATATGTTACGTTATCAGCCCGTTGCAGCCGACAAGCTAAAAAGGGGGCGGACAAAGGGAAAATAATTGAATGTATAAAATGTTAATGCAAATGAACAAAAAAAGTGAAAATGATGTAACCGGTATACAATATGAGTTAATATACATGAGCATTATTCAACAGTTATAAATTTGATAACATGCGCAGCTGCAGCAATGCTGCGACGAGTGCAACGAGCTGAAGCGTCAACTCAACACAGAAAGCGAAGTTCAACGAAACCTTCGCTGACTGTTGCTGCTGCTGCTTCGTTCGCTTGTTGCCCAAGTTTATTTATTCGACAACGGAGAGACCCAAAAATAAGAACGACAACGACAAGAGCAACGAAAACTGTCAATATATGCGAATATGCCAAACAAAGGGAAAACACAAAAAACACCCAGCTTTGTGTGTATTTCTGTTTTTCTGTATTTATATTTGGTTATTTTTTGTGTGTAGGATACGCTTACAATTAGCAGAGCTTCAGCAAAGACGAAGCATAAGGTAGACGACATTTAACGCTATCAGTGCAAGTGTATGCGTGTATGAGTGTAAGCTTGTGACCTCATCCCAGACACATACACATACTAACATGCTTGCTTGAATTTACAGGTGCTCGAATTGGTGCGAGCGAGACAAAGCGACAGTTTTGTCGTGTTTAACGACCTGTGCTCGATTGCTGAAGAATCGTGGAAGAGTTTGTGTACAGTGAAAGCTCTTTACAAGACACAGCATCTATATTTGTTTATTTTCAATATAAACAATATTGTTTATTTACACCAAAGCCAATTGAATGTGCAAAAAAGGAAACTATTCAGTTTCAAGGACATGAGATGTGTTTACTCAAGCGAGCTCTTACTGTAAGTGGATGCAGAGCCAAGGTAAGCCGTATATGACATCTATATAGTCAAACTGTTCCATAAAATCGTCGGACGTGTAAGGACAACAATCAAAGCCAAATGTAATGAAATCACAAAAGTGAGCGGCGAGTAGAACAAACGTTAAATGCCAGCTAATTGACCCATTTGAAAATCTCATACATAAACACATACACACACACACACACACATAAGCGAATGCACAAATGGAAAACATTTCGTGACATGATCTATAAAAACTCAACAAAATATGCATGAAAAACACCAATGGAACATATAAATACAAATTAGTCACCCCATACAATGCTCACACACACACGCATAGGCATGCACACACATGCATATGAATATAAATATTTACATACAAAAAAAAAAGTATTTTAATTGCAATACATGAAATTTGTTGCAGCCGCAAAAATTGTTGACGGCATTCGAAAGATTCCGATTTTTAAAAATAAAAAATGAATGCACTAGATTTAGCTAGGTAGTCGACACTGAAATACCCTGTATGCTAAGGAAACTAATTTCTATTTTCAGTTTACTTCGACTGGAGTCGTAAATGGAACTAGTTCCATGAAGCATTAACGCACTCCGACGAAACAGCTCAAAGTACAGGTTAAACTATCACGCATTAGACACTGTGTGAAAGTTGCAAAGTTCATGAACTGAACTAGAGACATTGGTTCACAAAAAAGCTAAGAGAGAAAACTCTACACGCACATATATATATATATATATATATATATACATCATAATCATGCTACCACACTCAATGCTCAATTACAGGGTATTTAGAGTGTGCTTGTGTATAAGTGATGAATCTTTAAGCTAATTTTAACGCACATCTTAATATTAATATATTCATAAATGCTAAATGCATTGCTTTGCGAAAACAAAGAAAGAAGAAGCAGCAGCAGCAGCCAAATTTCTTTTGCACATCGTGTGACCCGATTGATTGCCATTTAGAAAGTGGCAATAGTTCAAAGTATTATAGAGAGTTGTTCGAATACATAATGAGTGGCTAGAGAAATGCGACACTAATTGGCTAGCCGAGTCGAGTTAAAGTCAAGCTCGACGCGTGACGAATGTTGCGATATCAATTTATTTATTTGCATTTAAGCATTCGATGAAAAGATTTGCAAAAATACACTCAAAATACAATTGCAATTAAAGAGTTCTTAACAGCTTTCACTATCTATGAATAAGATCTTTGAAACTCACAGTCAGAAATCGATGAAATATATCTAAAGTATTCCTTGAGGTCATGAAACTGAGAGTAAACACTCGTTAAGCAGAACTACTAGATTCTCCATCGACCTAGTTATCAAAGAACTGAACTTTGCCTTCGGTCGATTCCAAATAAGTTCCGCTCTATATATAATATATATAGCTCTCTCTATATATAACTGTAAAACTGACGACAAACATGATTTGCATAATATAGTCTGCAAAGTGTCTATAAAATTCACTTTTAAGACTCGAAACGACTCTAGCTATAGCTTTAAGCCTCTTCGGCGTTTGTCTAATTGAAAATGTGAAACTGAAGCGTCAATTTTAATGACACCTCGAATAAGTCAAGCGAAGGGCAAGCGCCCCTTCATTAGCAAGTCGTCGATTCAAGTAGGTGACACTGTTTAAATATTTTGTAACGGAACGGAATGCGTACACCTAGCAGCACGTTCACGATCAACTAATATATCGATTTTGTCTTGATTGATTGTCCTTAAACTATTTCTTTAACTCAATTGTTCATTTATAATTTATAGTTTATAATGAACTGAATGGTTTAAAAGAACTATCATTTGTAAATGGGTGAATAGCTCAATAGAACTTTTAGTTCATGAACAGTTCAACAGTCAGTATAATTTGTAGTTCCTGAAGTCCAGAATAGCACAAAAATACTAAACGTTTGTGAAATACTGAATAGTTCAATAGTTCATAAAACGTATAGATCTAAATAGCTCAATATTACTTATAGTTCATGAAAAGCTCTATACTAATATTTCATGAAGTACACAATAGTTCAAAAGAACTTTTGGTTCATATGAAAGTGATCAGCTTAAGAGAACGTATAGTTCATAGTTCTGTATAGTTAAATAGAACTACTTAAGGTTAATATATCTGAATAGTTCAATAAAATACCTACAGTTCATAGAGAACTAAATAGCTCAATAGAACATATAGTAAACAGCTCAACAGTAGAACGATTAGCTCAGCTTAGCTGAACAATCAAATAGTTAAATGCATCGATCAACTAAGCAAATAGTATCATTCATAGATTGAAGATTCACAGGTCACTGAAAGAGTTCAGTAGTTCATTAGGGCGTCACATTCAATTAAACCACAGAACTATTCGCACATATAATCAGAAATGCTGCCTATGATGGCCATCGACTAAAGATCTATTTAAGTGTTACCTCCTCGACGACTTCCACTTCGTTGACAATGCCAAAGGGATCCTCCTGGCTGGTCAAGCCTTCCACTTCGCAGGCATTCGCCACGCCTGCAGCAGACTCAGAGTCCGAGTTATCCTCGCTGAACAGGCTACTCAGTAGCCAATCGTCTTCGTCCGGTTCGGGCAGCTGTACAGTGAGGCTGCCGGAAATGCTGGGATGTGGCGTGCTGTCGTTTAGAGCGCTTGGTGCATCTCCTGGATGCTGTCCCAGAACATGAGCATTGGCCCCGCCTGCAAACCCATGAAGGAAGGCAGCCAGACTAAGATCCAGTTGGCTGTTGTTGTGCGGCTGCTGCTGGCCATCCTTGAGCGGCAGATGGGCGTACGGACTGCTGTAGGGTAGATCGCCATAGTCGTGCAGATCGGCCAGATTCTGTTCCCAGATCGAACGCTGATCCTGCAGCAGACCAGGTGACAGGAATAAATCCAGTTCAGGTGAGGCTGCCAGAGTGTTATTGTTGCTCGTCGTGTTGATATGGATCTCGCCGAGTGCCGCTGCACCGGCTCCACCACCCGCTGTGTTGGCGGCCGCCGAAGCGCTGCCTGAACTGCCAGAGCTGGCGCCACTACCTTGAGTGCTCTGCAGATCCTGCAGTGCAGCCGTCTGAACACTGCTGTTGCCCGTCGTATTGTGTAGATTCATGACGAAGGTGCTCGCATTAAAGCTGCCCGTGGGCAACTTATACTCCCCGCTTCTGCCACCGCCGCCGCCACCCTGTCGATGCGGATGATCATGATCATAGTGAAGGAGATCCTCTAGCAGCGGCATCATGCCCTTGCGATTGCCATATGGCTGTTGCGTCTCAATCATCGGCACCGTGCGCAGCATTTCCAGCTCCCAGCCATCGCCATGGGGCAGCTCCAGTTGGGCGTCCCAGCGGCGCAGCAGGCGCTGCTGCAGCGTGTAATCCGTATCCACATGCAACAGACTCAAGGCCAAAGCCAGATGCAGCATCTTCATGGCATACGCCTTTTTGTTTGAGATCATTTTTGGTGTCGAGGTTAACAACGAGATGCAGATGACTAAATGAACGTGGGTGGGTGTAATTCTTGCTGCTGTTGACAAGCGACAGTTGCCGTCTCAGTTGTTTGTTGTTTTTGTCGTTGTTGTTGTTGTTGTTGTTGCTGTTGACCCACCTCCTCCTCCTCCACCTCCGCCCGGCCAGACAACAGCACGCTGGCTGCGCCGTCCGCGCGTTCAATGGCGTTTCCTTGCTGCGCTTCAATCGAGTATGTATACTCTGTATCTGTATGTATATATGTAGATCTAGCTATACATATATATGTATATATAAACAGATGTATATACGCTTGTATCAAGCTGCGCAAAAACCAAAAATTGTTTGTTTAAATCGCAATTCTCCTGCTGAAATGATGGTCACTTCTCGTTGTTTTCTTGTTCTTTTTGTTTTTCAATTAATAAATGTCCTCGTGTTTGTTATTCTTCTTCTTCTGCTGCTTGTTGTTATTGTTTTACTGCAAATATAGAAACAGAGGTTAAATATTAGTTTATATATATCTTTATATGCTAAGTTAATCGGTATGTCAAATATGATTTTCAACTTTAATGAATTTGCTTTGTGAGTGATCAAAGAAACTGCTAAGGAAATGCAATAGGAAATAATCATACAACACACACACACACACAAACACATGTGTATTAATAGATTATACAGTTAAATATAGAAGTAGTTATAGACATTGATATATATCACATATGATTTCCGCCTTGACTATAGCAAACAATTTCCTTAAGCTGACCAGTCAGATATATTCCTATATAGGTAAGGACAGCTATCACATTTAATAACAAAAGAATTTATTTAACTATATAAACTATGTATTTATATATATACTATTCTTTCGTTTTATATATTAATTAGCTAACAACTATCTCAGTTCTACATGGACTTATCTATAATACCTCTTATGTACTAAGGTTTAGGCTGACATTTATATACCATATCAAACAGTCAATCATATATATAAATGTATATATATATATATATATGTATTATATATATATATTAGTTCTTTTTCATTTTTGCATAACTTTCTTATTTGTTGACCATTCGTAATGGAATATTCAAAACTTAAATATAACCTACACACGTAGATGTGTATGTATGTATATATATATATATATATATGTATGTTTGCATATATGAATGTATGTATGCACATATGTATGTGTGTATGCATGTCTGTATTCATACTTAAGTTGTTCTCTTACTGTTGAAACGGACGCACATGATTAGAGCTGAAATCAGCTGTTGTTGCTTATCAGAAATATGTTATATTATATAGTATTATTATAGGTTTAGCAGATAGCTTTAAGACTTTTGGCTAAGAAAAGCTTACATTAACGAGGTTTAAGCTCAGCTCCTTAAGCAATAACAACTGTTCATTCCACGTTAAGCTTTGTGCTATTAATCTCTATTAAATATCTAATGCTTGAGGGGCTCAAGGGTAATTGAAGTTTATTATTCGAGTTGATTTGTCAACGTGTTGCTTTTCTATTAACACCTTTAGAGGTATTTCTATTAATTAAAATTTGGTTTGGCATTAACTTGGGCTATCAACAAATTTCTAACGCTTTAATTTAAATGGAGACATCGAAATGTGGACACTCAGTTTTGGGTGTCTGTCTGGTGGCCCATACCGCAGGCTCAGTTAGCGCCTTCTCCTCCCTCTCGCTCTTTATCTATCTCTTTCTTTCTTTGGGTCGACGCAGCAGGCCAAATATAGCCAAACACGCTACAGACACGACGGCTGCGTGAACTTGAACTTATTCAAGGTCTTTGATAAATTTCTGTGACACGAGGGGCGGGGGGCGTGGTCGACTGTACGACGCACACAAAAAAAAAGACGAAGCAAGTTCAAGGAGAGTCGAGTCGATGGGCAGCAACAAATTCAAAAATGATATAAACATGCTTTGTTTAAGGCTGCAATATGCAAGTGTGTGTGTGCTTGTATGTGTGTAATATACAGTAAAATAAAACAATGTTCGATCATCACAAGCAAAAATCAGAAAACAACAACAAATACAAATGTAGTTCTAAATAAGCTTTAATTTAGCTCGAGCTAAATGAGTGAGAGTGAGATGCATATATGTGTGGGTGTATGTGTATGTGTATGTCTGTGTGTGTGTGTATTTGTCAGACAGTGCACTCACCTTTTTCTCCACGAATTTCAAGCGCAAGAAGCGCAAGCGTTTCTGTTTGTGACTTCAACGGTAAAAACTGCGTCGCAGTATTTGCTGCAAACTGCTGCTGTAGGTGAATGATATTTTACCGTTTCAACGCCAGCGCACGCCGTTGACGTCGCTGCCGACGTATATTGTTAGCTTTTTATTTTCACTTACAATTTGCACGCGGTTTTTATTGGTTTTGTTTTACTTTTCTTTAATTTTTTATTTATATGCTGTGTTCAATAAATTAACATTTGATAAGCTGCAAAAACATTAATTATTAAGAAAATTGTTTTTTGTTTTATTTCTTTCACAGTTGCTCTAAATTTTTCCCGACGTCCTTGAACTTGGCCAATGGACTTTCATTCTGTCACTTTCCAATGGCGATTGTGTTTTTGGTTATAATGCCTGAAAGAAACACACATACACAAACATTTGCATCCCCATATGCTTATCTGACTTTGTATGCGTGTCTGCACTTTTTTGTCATTGCATTGCGGTAAAGCTTAAATGTTAACTGCCATCGTCTACTGTCACTGTTACTCTACGCTACACACTCTTCAGACGCATTCTGTGCGTGTATTTGTGTGTGTCCGTGTGCATGTGTGCGTGCGTGGTGAAATTGTAATTTGTTTAAAAAAACACATACATATATTATTTATGTATGATTTTTGTTTTCATTTTTTGTCAAGCAATGCCAATTCTTTTCTGCTTTACTTCACATCAACGTTTATTTATTGTTTGCTTTTATCGCCATTTTCTAGCGTCTGTGACTCACACCAACAACACGGATTGCGTCTCCGCTAGTTTCTTTATTCTCTCTCACATAGAAGCGCATACGTAAATGCGTGTACGTATGTATGTATGACAACAATTAACTTATACGTTTAATTAAATGCAAAATAATTTAACATTTATGGCAATCAAAACACACGCACACACATGCACAAACACACCACACTACTTGTCATATGCATATCAAGGCAAAAATAACAACAACAGCAGCAGCAGCAACAGCCGTAGTCCACGAACAAGAGCGTTATACACTCACAAACACACGCATACATAAAGACACATAAAAAGCGCAGTATAAACAACGTATTTTAATTTGATACAAAATTTATCACTGTTTTTGTGCTGCCGTCGCCTCAACCTCTGCTCGCACATTATTAGAAACTTCGAGAACAATTCCTAAGCTTGAACTTTGCATCAGCAGCAATAGCAGCAGCAGCAGCAGCAGCACTGTATTTATCAAACAATTCTATTTTGGCAGCAATTTCGTCAGTTGTATGCAGCTTGCAACATGTCAGCTGAGCGTCGGAGAGAGCATATTGCTGAATTGTGTGGCTTTGACTGTTGCTAGCCTGTTGTTGTTCACCACATCACATCACAATGAGGTTGCATATTTATTTAGATTATTGGTGTATTGCAAAGCTGTCAATTTGTAAGATAATTTATAAAAAAACAAGCACAAGTTTTTACATGTTACTACGGTTAAGAATACTCTCTCACTCGCACACACACACTAACGCAATCACCAATATACGCACATTGTACAATAGTTTTGCACTTTTACGCGGTTTCTTTTGCTTATTATTCGCCTTTGAAAAAATATTGCTACTTTCTCTTTGCGTTGCGTATTCGCTAGCTTACATGCGTACGTATATTAACTTTATCAGCGCAAAAATACACGTCAAAAACGTGTTTTTATTAACTTGCGTTGGTTTTCTTATTTCCACAATTTCTTTTTGACTCGGCGAACGCTTGATAGACGTCTGCTCACCGCGCTTTTAAAACAACAAATACGATTTATAGCGATTATGGCATACGTCTCTGCTATAAGACCGCACGATGTTAAGCTTACAGAAATCACTTAACAGTTTGTTATCGCTTGCGAATATTATCGAGACTACTCAAAATGGCAATGTTATAGCTTGACTGAGCTGTCAATTGGCTGCTTCAGCTAAGTTGCCTGCTTTCTGTAACACGTACTCGACTTTTAGGTGAATGTTAGTTAGCGGCGTGGTGAAAATGATATGAATAAAATAGAATAAATAATTCCCTTATTGCGTATAAAGTTTGGAAAAGTGGTATGATTTAGGGCAGAAAGCTTTTTCCGAAGCTTTCGACGCTGTTGCTACTTGAAGCTTTGGTGTTGCAGTCTCTGTTAGCTTTAACATATTCAAAGCCCGCAATTTGGTTTCCTCATTCAAAATTAAGATTATACACTAATTTTTAATTTAGGTAGATGTATATATATTTAAAAAAACATTCATTTAAAACTTACCAGTAAGCTGTAGTTAAAGCCACAGTATAATGAGTTTCTTTGAGTTGCTGGTGTTTCCGGTATTGTTGGCGTTTCTAGTGTTGTCATTGGTGTTGTTGGTGTTGACAGCAATATGGCTGGCGTTGTAGCTACCGTTGGCTTTATCAAAAGCTTTGGCTTCGCGTTCCCTGGCTTAAAAGCTTTCGTCACCTTCGGGTTCAGTTGAGCCAGATTTGGCCTATATTCCTCGATATCTTTAACGGGTGACAGCGATTGCATTCTGGGTAAATCCTCCAAATCGATCATGGTGTACTATCATTAAACAATAATGAGTCAACCGAAAACTGCAAATACAAACAGTAATAAAAATTACACATGGCCCAGGGCATACAAGCAAGTGAATTTTTATGATAACGAACAATACTACGTGTCAGATTTAATAGTAAATGTATTCCCTCTAATTGTTACCAATTCGTGCATATATGTGTAGGTACGTGTGTGTGCGTGTATATATGTATCTGCAAATATCTTTATCAGCCGAATGGGGGAGTCCCCTTCACCGTAAAGCTCTACCAAAAAGCTTTGCGGTGAAGGGGACTCCGTACACTGAGAAAAAGT